TAAACCTCAATGGTTAAAGTAGTCTTCTTTGGTGTCACCAAAATCTTAAATGCAAATACAAATTGGACAGTGAAATCCTGGGGCAAGACTAGGTGGACATCTAGATGACCCAGAATCATAGATTTCTATGACTTTTTGACTTTTTATTTTGAAATCATTTTAAACTTAGCAGAAAGTTATAAGAATAGCACAAAGAACTCCCCTTACCCATCACCAAGATTCATCAGTCATTAACATGTTGCTATATTTGCTTTTGCACACTCTCTGTGTATGTATATTTTTTATGAGCCATTTGAGAGTAAGTTGCCAATACGTCCTGTTTATGTGACTTTAAGATCAAAATGAAAACAAAACAGTCTCCTTTTAAACAATCAGAACATTATAAGTAAGACTATAGTCCCCTTTGACTGACCACTCTTATTGCCAGTCCCCTTACTCTTCCTTGAGCTAACTCCATGGAGTGTGTATTCTTCCAGATCTACAGGTATTGATTGACTTAAATCCTTCTACATTCATATATGTGACTCATACAAAAAAGACATCATATTGTTTAAAAAAACACATTAATGTTATTATATAGCTCACAACAGTAGTTTTGATGTGCAAAAGATGCTCAAGTATAACATTAAGTCAGAATATCGAGTTTTAATTATAATCTAAACTATGTAGAGCTGTCTATAATGCTGGGAGGAAATAGGCTAAAATTTGATTGGTTATCTCTAGCTGGTGGGATTATGAGTGATTTTTGTCACCCCTGCTTAATATTTTTTGTATATTTTGAACTTTTCTACGGTAGGCGACTGATAAAATGAGGGCAGCCAGATAATTTAGAATAAGATAAAAGAAGCTTGAGAGGTGGGGGGGGGGTGTGTGTGTGAAAGCAGAGCTTATTGAAGAGAGGCTCCAACAAACTGGTGGAAAGGGTGGGGACAAAGGGAGAAGATCCTAAGGAGAGATAAGGAAAGCCTTCACTTCTTGTCCTGTTCCCCTTGCTGGGACCAGGAGGAGCAAAGACACATGAAGATCATAGATGAGACCATGGCCCAGCTACAAGATCTAAAGAATCAGCACTTGGCCAAGAAGTCGGAGGTGAATGACAAGAATCATGAGATGGAGGAGATTCGTAAGAAACTGGGGGGCGCCAACAAGTGAGTGGGTTCAGACCTGGGGTTGGGGCAAGTAGGTAAAGCAGACAGCCTGCTGGATTTGCGTCTCACCTGTCTCCCTGGATCTTCTCAGGGAAATGACCCATTTACAGAAGGAGGTGACAGCCATTGAAACCAAGCTTGAACAGAAGCGCAGTGACCGCCACAACCTGCTACAGGCCTGCAAGATGCAGGACATCAAGTTGCCACTGTCTAAGGGCACCATGGATGATATTAGTCAGGAAGAGGTGAGCATCATGGCTGGTGTTGGCAGTGGGCTGTGAGCAACATTAACCAGGGATGGGAGATGAAAGTGAAAGTGGCCAGGTAGGGCAGGAGAGAGAGAGAAGGATGGTGGGCAGCAAGGGTGGTGAGGGACATAAGGAGGGATGGCAGGGTGAGGCTATGGAGACAGGTGAGGAGAAAGGTAGTAGCCTGGTGTGAGAGGGAAGTTGCATTGGGGATAGACCTATATGCCAGTAGGTGGTGAGGGAGGTAAGCCAGGAGAAGATGAGACCATTCATTATCCTTAGGACTTGGGCTAAGTTAGCTCCAGCAGGTGATGGGTATTGGTAGGAGCGGGGTTTGAGGGACATTAGCCAAGAGTAAAGGAAGATGGAAGCTGGAGGACCTGAGGGATTATAGCTTAGCTGCAGTGAGGGAGGTTGGCCAGGAGAGACTTGGGTAAGAGACATCAGCAATGCAGAGGTGACGAAACATAGTTATAGGAACGGGAGGGTTACTGGCTGATAAAGGGGCCAAGGCATTTTAGGCATTTTATCCACTGAAAGTGAAGATTGGTAACAAGGGGTGTGAATGTTAACTGAGAGCAGGTTTGTGTAGGTCTCATCTTCTGCCTGGACATGTATCTCAGTCCCACATGTCTTTCTCCCTCCCTTCCTCCAAAATAGCATTTCAGTTTAATTAAGCAAAATATTTTGAACACCAGATCTCATGGTATCATGTGACATAATTACTCCTAATCCAAACCACAGCTCTGCCAGGCAGGCATTACACCCCGCCAATTACAGATGAGAGAACTCGGATCTGACAGTGTGACCTGCCCAGGATCACACCCTTAGGCAGTGATAGAGCTCAATTTTGAACTCAGATCTTTGTGCTTTCAAAGCTGCTATCCTGCCGCAAGGTGCTTTCGCAGTCATTGAAGGCTGCAGAGTCCCCAGCCCCTTCTAGAGGGCCCTCTCATGGCCAGTCTGCTTCATTCCACTCCCTATTGCCATTGCAGGGTAGCTCCCAGGGAGAGGATTCAGTGAGTGGTTCTCAGCGAACTTCCAGTATCTATGCACGAGAGGCCCTCATCGAGATCGACTATGGTGACCTGTGTGAGGATCTGAAGGTGAGGATTGGCCTCTGGGGGGTAGGGGACATTTTCCCAGCTGTCCAGAGAGAGGGTCAGCTCATCTGGGGCCCACTGGAAACCAGGACCAGAAAGAAGGGCAAACTGGCAAGAGAGGTAGGGTTGAGTTATGATCCAGGGTCTCCCTGTGTGCACACAGAGACAGCTGCACATCCTCCTCCTCCCCAGGTTGTGCCCATCCCTGCTGGTTGTTTGTCTTCCCCTTCCAGGCATGTACACGTCTCAGCCCCAATACAGAACAGGCTCCTGAACAGATAGACCTCGAGGATTCCTCAGCACTCCATCCAGGGCACTCTTTCCTTCTCATTTGGCTTTCTCTCATCCTGCATCTTTCACTCTCCTGCCTTCAGCTACCATCTCTATGCTAGGTCCCACAGGTACCTCAAACCCCAGCCCTCCTCCCCAAATCTGCCCCTTCTCAAAGCCAGCCACAGGTTCAAACCAGAAACCTGAGCCTCATCTTAGATTCCCTCTCTCACTTTGCCTGTTCAGTGAATTACCAAGCCCTACCCATTCTATCTCCTAAATATCTATTGAATTCTCTGTTTTTCTGTTCCCACTGGTATAGGCAGCTTTCACCTCTCACATGGACCTCCTAAATAATTTCTAATGCTTTCCGATCCATCATTATAGCCAGGGGGCTTGACTTTTTTTTTTTAACTTTTTATTATGGAAATTTTCAAATATACACAGAAGTATAGAGAATGCCAGCTTCAGCAATAGCAACATATGGTCAGTCTCATTTTTTATACCCTTCCCTCTCCCTATTGGCCTATTTTATTTAAATCAAATTCCAGATATTCCATTCATAGAAGGGCTCTTTAAAAAACATAACCACAGTATCTAATAAAAAATAATTTTAGCCACAACTCTGTAATATCATCTAATACTTAGTAAATGTTTAGATTTCCATGAATGTCCCGTAAATCTTTTTTTTTTTTTGCACAGTTTGTGTGTTTAAATCAGGATTCAAGTGAGGTCCATATGTTTGAATTGGTCTCTTCTAGTCTGTAACATTCTTTTCCTATTTATGGAAGAAACTGGGTCATTGGACCTGCACAATTTTCTGCATTCCAGATTTGGCTGAGTATGTCCCATGATGTTATTTAACATGTTCTTCCATCCCCTGTATTTCCTCTAAACTTGTAGTTAAGACTAGGGTTTGATTGGATTCAGGTTCATCTTCTATTTTTGACAAGAATATGTCATAGGTGATGCTGTGTACTTGTGAACTTCCTTTTGCATCACATCAGTGTGCACTGTCTGTCAGTCCTGTCTTTGTCATGATAAGATTGATCGTTGCTCAACATTGCTTATGAGATATTCTTGCCAAAAACTCAAGGATCTGATCAAGCTTTTATATCCACCGATTATAAGAAACACTGGTGCCAGAGGAACATGTTAAATAAAAGCTCAGGGATGCATTCAGCCAAATCCAGACTGGAAACTGAAGGACAAAAGATGTGTTCTCTTCCATAAATAAATGGGAAGAAAGAAAATAAATACAGAGAGAGAACTTTTATAGACTATAGGAAACAAATCAACCAGTTGGAATATGTGGCCCTCCCTTGAATCCGTTGCAAAGAAAAGATACAAAGGGGAACTTGTAGATTGAGATTTAAGGGACATGTCGGCCAGTTGCAATGTGTATACCTTATTTGGAACTTGCTCTGAAAACTTGTAAAAAAATTTTTGTAAAACAATCAGGACGATTTGAACACTGACCAGATGATTTATGATGTTCAGGAATTGCTGTTAAAATTTTTAGGTGAGTTAATCGTATTGAGTTTTATTTTAAACTGTCCTATCTTTTACAACAGTGGTTCAAAATGGGGGTGGGGTGGATTTTGCATCCCTAGAGGACATTTGGTAATGACTGGAGGTACTCCTCACACCCACTTGTCACAACTGGGGCGGAGGTTACTACTGGCATCTAGGGATACTGCTAAACATCCTACAGCACATAGTACAGCCTCCACAGAAACAGTTCATCTCGCTCAAAATGTCAGTAGTGCTAAGATTCAGAAACCCTGTTTTAGAGGTCATGTTGAAATATTTATAGATGAAATGATATGTCTGAGATTTGTTTTAAAATAATTGAATATAGAAAGGAATTGGGTATAGATGTCAGAGTATTTTCCATGAGTTGATGATTATTGAAGCTGGGTAATAGGTACCTGGGAGTTCATTATATTCTCTGCATTTTTGTATAAGTTTGAAAAAAGAAAAACAACCATGGTCACTAGGTTTAGGTGTTTTTAGCCCCGTCCATTTCTACGAAGTTCTCTTATCAGCCTTTCACAAGTTGGTTTTATCAGCTCTTCATGATCATTGCCTAGATCCCCCTAAGGGTTTCAAAATGCTAATTTTGTAATTTTTTAATTCCTCCACTTATTAATTGGGTATCTAAAAAGAACTTCCTCGCATCTATTTAGTTCCCTTGCAATACATTTAGTGTAGAAAAGGTCAGATAAATACTTAATTGTTTTCCGTTATTTACCAGCTCTTCAAATGAGTTGGTTGCCCTTATAACCTTTAAAGATGACCAACGAGGTTTTTAATTTGTATTTATTATAAACAGAAGTATTTTAAACATGTTTTGATCTGTTGTAGTCTTTTGGCATTATTTTCCTTTTTGATGTTCAAATCGTCCCATCCTTGGCCACTGGGAACCACTTCAAGTTGATTTTTGTTTTTTTCCTTATTTTTTAGATTTTTATTATGGAAAATTTCATATGCAAAAGTAAAACAATACAGTGCTGTCTTATGTTGCTATGGCCAGTTTCAATAGTTACCAACTCACGGCCAGACTTGTTTCATATGCACCCCCATATGCTCCCTCCTTCTTTCCCATGCCCAGGTTATTTAAAAATAAATTCTGGACATCACATCATTCGTTTGTAAATATTTCAGAATGTATCTTAAAAAAAATAATTTCTTCTTTGTTTATTAGCTAGAATACTGTAAAGAGAAATTTCTCTCATTAATTATTTGGTTACCCTGAGTTACAGTTTGTATAGGAAAGGCAGGATATATGTGCTTGATTCTTTACCTTTATTACCATTTTATAAAATAATGAGTTATTTCTGTGGCATTCTCAAGATTTGTCCACTGAATTGTTTTCTCATCATTCTGAACTTAGCGGTTTAAACACACTTGGCATGTTGTGCTCTCTGGTGCTGGCTATTCTTATTGATCAAGTTGGCATCTTTGGCCAGTGGGAACTCATTCAAGTTGGCTTCTGAATCATTTTGACACAGCTCTTGTAGTTGTTGATGTCTTCGTTGCTTCCTGGTACTTCCAGGCTCATCCTCTATATTTCCTACCCCAAGACCTGGAATTAGCCATTTTTCCCAGAAACTCTGACTTTTTTTAGTAGGAAATGCTATTATTTAGTGAATACCATCTGAACACTGGAGTGTTCATGACAGCTGGGTTGCTTGGTGCTTCTAGAACTTTACAGTAGACTGTATTTTTATATTTTGAAGGAAAATGTTTCATGAGTTTATATTGATACTTCCAAGTTAAATCATAATTCTCATAGTTCAACATCATTTACTTTATATTTGAGTCTCCAGTTATTCTTGCTGAAAATCTTGGTTCCTAGCAACACTAGCATAGTAACATACTTATCCTATTTTGTAATAGTTTGAAAATCACAGTAAGATACTCTTAGTAACAATTTAATTTTTGAATGCTGTTTAAGATTTCCTTGAGGTTTATTTATTAATTAATTTATTTAAATATCTTTGTTGATTTCACAGAGAGGAAGGGAGAGAGAGAGAGAAACATCAATGATGATAGAGTCATTGATCGGCTGCCTCCTGCACGCTACCCACTGGGGATCGAGCCCACAACCTGGGAATGTGCCCTGACCGGGTTTCGAACCACGATCTCCTGGATCCTAGGTCGATTCTTAACTACTGAGCCATGCTGGCTGGGCTCCTTGAGGTTCTTTTTTGTTGTTAAGCTAATAGCTCATTGGGCATATACAGTTGTGTTTGTATGTTTTAAAGTAATTTGAAAGACTCAGCCAGTGTGGCTCAGGGGTCAAGAGTTGACCCATGAACCAGTAGTTCACAGTTTGGTTCCTGGTCAGCGCACATGCCCGAGTTGTGGGCATGATCCCCAGCAGGGTGGTGTGCAGGAGACAGCCGATCAATGCCTCTCTCTCATCGTTGATGTTTCTATCTCTCCCTCTCCTTTCCTCTCTGAAGTCAAGAAAAACATATTTAAAAATAAATAAATAGGGGGGAAACAATAAAAAAATTTTTTTTAAAGTAATTTGAAAGAATTCTCTGTTTAACCAACTTAATATATAATTAGGTTTCTTTGTTTAGTTTTCAGTTTTTAAGGGACTGCTATTTTTAGCATTTTGATTTATTTTTCACAACTTTAATTTTGAAAATGTTCAAACCTATAGAAAAATTGAAAGAATAGTATAGTGAACATCCATATGCCTTTCACCTTAAATTCACCAATGAATGTTTTTTCAGTGTGCTTTCTCTCTCACCTCAGTTCCCTCCCTCTGCACTACACACTTTTTTTTTGTTTTTGCCGAACTATTTGAAGGAAGTTACAGACTTCAACTCTTAAGTATTTCATGCCAAGAACAAGGGATTCGCCTCCATAACCACAATTCCATATTACACCTAAGAAAAGTATAGTAATTTCATACTTGATATCCTGCCCATATTCAGATTTCCCTAGCTGTTCCAAAAGTGTTTATAGTTTTTTTTAAACTATGACCCAATCATGTATTGATTTTGGTTCTGTCCCTTTAATTTCTTTTCATGTGGAACATTCTCCTCACCTTTTTTCATAACGTTGATCTTTTGAAGAGTGTATGGTTGTCTTTTTCTATGTGTTGTCTTGAAGAATGGATATGTTATGGATATGTTCTGGATGTGTTAGTTTGTTTTCATTATTGCTTAACTTATTCTTCCTCCTATGAGTTGAAAGTTTGATCTAGTCTGGAGGCTTGATGCATTTGGGTTAAGTAATTTTTGGTGAGAACATTTCCTTGGTGATGCTTTGTACTTTGGATTGCATTATGCCAGGAGGCACATAATGTCAGGATGTCCCATATTCATGATGCTATGTTTGGTCCTCAGTTAAAGTATCAATTGCCAGCTCTTTCAACACTAAACATACACTTTAACCTTTGTACATAGTCATCGTTAGGATGATTCTTTGGCATCTTGTGAATATCTTGTTCCCCAACAATTAAAAAAAAAATTTTATTGATTTTTTTAGAGACAGAGGAAGGGAGAGAGAGAGAGAGAGACAGAAACATCTATCCATTGCGTCCTGCACGCACCCCAACTGGGAATCAAACCTGCAACCAGGGCATGTGCCTTGACCAGGAATTGAATTGGTGACCTTTTGGAGCATGGGGCGACGCTCAACCAAGTGAGCCACACCGGCCAGGGCCCCAACAATTTTTTAAAATTTATTTTATTTAAAAAATTTAATGTCACATTATTGCAGTTGTCCCAACTCCACCCGCCTCTCCCTTCCTTGGACTTCACCAAACTATTGTCTGTGTCCATAGAGTATACATATATGTTCTTTAGCTAATCCCTTTACCTTCTTTATCGTCACCCCAACCCCCACTCAACAATTCTTTTACCCAGTGTTTTTCACATTTTGATTTAATTTTGTCTTATAATTATGTAGTCTTCATATGGTTCTAAAACCAAAAGTATAGCACAAGGTGCATGAAGAGAAGTTTAGCTTCCTTTCCTATCCCCATCACCTCTCTTTCTCTATGTGTAACCATTTTAATGTTTTTGGATTATCCTTTTTTTGCTGTTGTACTTTTAAAATACAAATATATTTATATGCAAATATATTCATTCATATTCCTTCTCTCAGATAAAAGATAGCATTATATTGGGTACCTTTCATATTTCACCTATATTCTGGAGATCACTTTACACCAGTATTGAGAGATCTTCAGAAGGGCTTTTCTAAAATATA